GTGCTAGTGCCGGATCTTGGGCCTTTTATTGATAGGTCTGGGGCTCCCTGAACCAGCTGCAGCTTGTTTGCCAGATTTTAGCCTGAACAAGAACAGGCCATTGATATGAAAAAGCTGCTGCACACAGGTTGGTTGGGGTTGTAAATTGGATGAGGCAGGGTCTTAGGGAATCATCAGGACAGAGCAAACAGAAATGGCTGCCAGTCAACCCTGCAACCAGGGAGGTCCCAGCATAGGAACAATGATCCCTGAGAACACCTCAGTCTGGGAGAAAACTGCCCCAAGTTCCTGCCCTGATGTCAGACAATCCAGTTCCTCCTCGTATGTGTCTGTGTCTTCCAAAGCCTCGCCCTGGTGCTGGAAGTGGAACCTGGTAAGTTCTGTTTGTGGTGCCGGCCTTTTAAGAGGAACAGCTAGGTCTCCAGCAGCCTCTGTGTCACTGAGCCCCAAACAGCACTGGTTTTTACAGCTTGTAGTTACGGGAACTTCTCTTTTGAGCTCTGGGACCCTGGGCTGGGGGTTTGGTGTGGGGCTGGGACCCTTGCTCCTCATAGGCGGCCTCTGTAGAGACGATCTTCCTCCTGATTGAAAAAGTGACACGGGGGTGTCAGACCAGCCCGTTCTGTGCCTCTGCACCTCCTACCAGTCTCGGTGTGCTGTCTTCTTTACCTCTCTAGTTGTAAGACTTCCATTCAGCCAGCTTCCAGCAGCTCTGGATGATGGTTTCTGTATTTTGGTTGTAATTTTGATGTGGTTGTGGAAGGCAGTGAATACAGGCGTTACCTATGCAGCCATCTTGGTTCCTCTCCTGCCCATATTTCTTTAATACATTTTTTTTACCCCAATCTATCTCCTTTTCTTTTAGAACTCCAGTTACATATAAGTTAGATTTCTTAATATTTTCCTAGAGGTCACTGAGTCTCTACTCATTTTCTTTTCAGTCTTTCTTTCTCTCTGTGCTTTGGTGTAGATAATTTATATTAATCCACCTTCTAGTTTACTGAACTTTTCTTCTGTAGTGTCCAATCTGTTATTAAGCTCGCATCCAGTGAATTTTTTATTTCAAGTAATTTTTTTACTTCTAGAATTTTAATTTAGACCGTTTCTTTATTGTTTTTGTTTCTCCAATATTCCCTCTCTATTCACTCATTGTTTTCAAAAAGTCTTTGCTATTTCCAACATCTTTGTCATCATCGGGTCTGTCCCTATTGACCATTTATCTCCTGATTATTGCTCACGTTTTCCTACATGTGTCTACTCAGTTTTTAAATTTTATGACAAACATTGTGACTACTACTTTTTTTAGATTCTAAATTGTCTGCTTTTAAGCAGTTTTTCTTCCCCTTTATGCCAGGCTATCAGCTGTCAGTGCTTTTAGCTGACAGGATACCTGCCTCTTGCTGCTTTATTCCCTACTCTTCTGATTTTGCTATTTTCTAATCTGCAGTTAGCTAGGAAACCATTCAGTCTAGCTTGTTAGCATTATGTAAAGTACAAATAAGCAGACTGAGTAGGTCTCTGAGGACTCCTGAATCAAGTGCAGGAACTTTAATGTACATATTTTAGTGTAGTTTAGATATTTAAAGATTCGTATTCATTTTCGGTAATTGGTATTAGATGCATGAAATACACTTTTGTGTTGAAACCATGCCCTGAATAGAGACAATAGTTCTCAAAAGGGCTCCTAATTTCTGGTTGATGTCAATTTAAGTTATGTGTGCATATTTTTGCTTTTCTGCTTTTAGATGTTAGAAGAAATATTTGTTGATATTTGTGATGTTCCAGCAACCTCCATTAGTGTGACTTTCCTCTTAGGATTTTTTTAATGCGTCTAATATTTTCTCTGGCTCTTTGCCTTAAGTCTAATGACAGCATTTTAAAATTTGGTTTGTAAATCCTCACATTAAAAAAAGTACTGTTTGAGTAGGCCAAATAGCCAAATTATTGATCAGAGGGAAGCTAAATGTACATGGCTAAAGGATTTCCAAGGTGCATCTGTGAGATTTGATCCCTTATTTCCCCTTGTTCAGGAAAGCTCAGAATGAAATAAATGTAGTATATTTTTGAAAAGGCTACCTTTAATTGCTTTTGTCTCATTGGGGTATGTGGGAGTTGAGAAAAAGTTATGCCTCTTACTTAAGATCCTTCTCCCCATTTGCATTCCTAGAATGAGCCTCTCAGAGGTTAAACCTACATTTTACCAAGTAAATGCTGGTTTCCTGGGAAGACATTTTTGGCATCTTTTTGTTCTTCTGTACTTGTGTCCTTGACCTAAATTAGCAAGTCTTCCTCTTTTCCAACTCTTCCGGAAGACACTCTTCATGTCTTGTCCATGTCATACCTGACAGAATTCAGGTGTAGTCTTGGTTTTTAATTATAAGAATCATGGGAAAAGAAGACTTTAGTGTCTTGCTTTCAGAACTGGATCTTTTAGAGAACAGCCTATCAAATACAAGCAAGTTTGCTACTTTAGATGATAAGGAAACCCTCTATAAGAAAGGTTCATATATTGACAGAAAAATAGAAGCTTGGTCAGTTTCAGATACAGGCTTTCCTGGGTGTATAGTATTATGTAAGGGGTAGAGACTTCACACTGCTGTCTCTAAAAGGTGGTCTTGTGTAATAGCCTCCCTATTACCATTCTAGAAAGTCTGTGTCTAATTATCCATCTTTAAGTAGTGAAGAATGGCACCTGAGTGGCAAGAGTCCAGATGGGACTGAGGGAGACAAGCAATGTTAGACATTTCCTGTGATTAGGCTGGATTAGATTGAAGCATAATAAGATTTTCTGTGCTCTGAGTAAAGTGCTCTTAAACTTGGCACCAGTGGGAGCAGAATTCCAGTTTGTCAGCTGTGGAATTTGAAGTCTTCTTGCATGTTAGAAAAAGGGTTTCAGGCTCTTTGGCCTCTGTGTCACCCATTGTCTTTTAAATCCCCAGGAGAATCTCTAGGGGGCCTGCTTTGGAAGGATGCCCACCCCCACATGACAAATCAGATCAGTAATTCCTCCTGTGTGTGGTATTCGTAGTAGAATCCTAGGTTCCCATTAAGAATTTAGCTGATCCCCACAACAACCTTTGGCCTACAGGGCACGTACTATAATTCCATTTTATAGTGAACAGAACAAAGACCTTGAAAGGGAAGTGACCAGCTCCAGGCCTGCCAGTTTAAATTGTGATGCACTGACTTAAACCTCTTCTCCTGACGCTTAGGTTGACATTCTTTCTGTTACATCATCTGAAAGCTAATGAGTGATAATTAGAGGAAGAGTTCACTTTGGGATGGAATAAAGTAGAAATTTTGAGAGTCTTGGTAGATATTCAAAAGAACTGGTCTCATTAATCTTTAGAACAGGGATTTTAATCTTCATTGCAATCTGGAACCCCCTAGGATAGTGGTTGGCAAACTGCAACTTGGCAACCGGCGGCTCACGAGCCACATGTGGCTCTTTGGCCCCTCGAGTGTGGCTCTTCCACAAAATACCGACTACCCTAATTAAGTTAATAACAATGCGCACGTGGTATTTTGTGGAAGAGCCACACTCAAGGGGCCAAAGAGCCTCATGTGGCTCGTGAGCCGCGGTTTGCCAACCATGGCCCTAGGAGATCTTAGTAAATACTGAGGCCCCAGTTCCTCCCCCCAGAGAGTCTGATTTAATTGGTCTGGGGTTAAGCCTAAGCATTAGAATTTTAAAAACCTTCCGAGGTGGTTCTATCGTGCACCATGCTTTAGACTCATCTATGTCAGTGCTGTCTTCACCTGGGCTCTATCTCCTTTCTGGCTAGATTTCCCTTTTACCCACTTATGGAAGAGGTTGGACATTTTTTATATTTATTAAGACCTCAACCAGGATTGGGAAGAAAAAAATGAGCTGGAGAAAAGACTCCATTAAAATTGAGTTTTCTAAAGTTAAGAGCACATGCTGTTAACATGGTCAACAAAAGCCATGAACTTATTAAAACTGTAAGAAAAATATGGAAAACAACAACTAATTGAGCCCCAGTTTTACACTGAAAGCTATATGAGCTGAAGGAACAGCAAAGAAACCTCTGGCTTTAAGACATTTTATAGTATAAGATTGTCATGTGTCTGAATCATTCCCACCACATACAGATGTATGGAGGGAGAAAAACATTGGTTAGCTGCATAAATATTTGCCTGTTCCACCTAAATATCTTTTGGGGAAGCAGGTAGGGCATAAACATCTGAAATGAAAATAGGTGCTTGCCCAGAGGTAGATTTCCCAAAAGGCCGTCACCCTCCCTCCCGTGGCTGCTGCCTCTGCTGCATTCCGGCTAACAGAGCAGCCTTTTCACATTGCTGCTTGGGCCTTAAAATCTAATAACAGCTGCTCAGGAAAAAGGAGATATTGAAGGAGTAGAAGAGCCAAACCCAGTCCCCGGTGTTCAGATTCACAGCAGCTGAAATCATATCATCTCCACCTTGCCAGGAGCCACATGTGACTTAACCTGAGAATTGCTGTGCTGGGTTGATCAGATCAAATCTATCCAGGCCACTTCCCGGGGAAGCTGCAGAAGGTGAGAATACACTGTATGTGAGCGTGAGTGTCCTCCCCGCAGTTTAGTGATGGTCCCCTTGAGAGCTGTTTCCATGTAAGAAACCTTTGAATTCTCAACCAGTGCCAAGTTGCAATCTTTCTTCAATCTGTCCCCACTACTTCTAGCAAATTCTTTGGCTGATGTGGACTATAGAAAAAGTCCTTTTTATCCTAAACTTATTTCATTCCAGCTTACAGGGTGTGGGCATTTAGAACTAATGGAGAGTCAGACTTCAGAGAAGAAATTTCCTCCTGTCGTTCAATCTTATGTTGGAGTGAGCTCACTCAGAGGCGCTGGCTGCAGGAGCAGTGACGAGGATGGAGCCTGGCAGATGGCTGTGGCTGCGGCTTCCTGCAGGCCTGTGTGGGGAGATGATTGTTTGTATATTGGTTTTCATTTATGTGTTGGTCTTATTTTCATCTTCCTGAGGTACCCAGATGCTATGGTGATAGATTGGTTGGAAACGACTCATTTGTCAGGGTTCCATGGGGGACGTGGCTTTCCTTCCCGTGTGCAGTGGAGTCTAAAATGTTTAATTAGATGCTGAGGCGTTTCTGCAAGGGTCCATTTCTGCCAGTTCTCCCAGGTGGGTGCCAGTCCTTAGGTTGGAGAGGGTTTGGGGCTTTTCTGAGCCAAACCTTCTCTCTCCTCATTTCTGTCTTGATATAATCCTCATCCACCTCCTTTTAGCTGCTGGGGTTTTGTTCTCTATCATTTTTGTTCTAGGAACTGCCTTCATGTGACTGCCAGAATTTGCAGAGCTGATGCATGTTGGAAATCTAGTTGTCAAACAGGTTCAAACCAGACTTTATGAAATAATGTAGTTGAACTGATATGTAGTGAGAGGAATATTAACAACCTGCTGCTTATCTGTCTCATCCCAGTTCAACTTTTCCAGAGAACTTACCTTGCTCTGACTGCGTGCCAGGCAGTGCCCTAGAGGCCGAGGATACAGAGATGGGGCTTCTGCCCTCAACAAGTGCAACATTGAGTCAGGGTGCGACAGACGCGTACGCAGTGTACAACGTGTGCACAGTTGTGACACCATGAAGGTGCCAAAATAAAGGAGTGAGCAAAGGGCTGGGGAGTCATGTCAACGTGATGTGAGCTTTGGGGAAAGGATGGCATTTCAGGCAAATGTGAAGAGTAGTGGGGCAGCGGGCTTGCAAAAAAAGCAAGGAGTTCCATGTGCTGGGTCTGGGGAGGTGTCAGAGGGTGGGTGTGGGAGGGGAAGTTTGAAATGGCTAAGGTTTCCACCTGGGGTACATAGAGACATCAGGAATTGGGAACGGGGAGAAATCCAGGGAAGGGGACAAGAGTTGAATTCTAGACAAGATAAAAATGATGCGCTTGCAAAATCTAGGTGGTTGGAAATGTGGGTGTGGGACTGATGGGGTGCTGGCACAGGAGATGCAGATTTAAAAGTTGTCCTATGGTGTGCCAGGAGTTGAGGCTTGAGCACAAAGCTATCCGAGGAAAACCTGGGCTGAAAGGCACAGGGTCACCGCCTTCGGGACAAGGGAGATTGGGTGGCAGAGGGACCAAAAGAGCCGGGCCCACGCTTCTTTTCCTTTCACCAGCTGGTCTGTCACACCTGGCTGCCCATGGAGCCCAGTGAGCGGTTCTCAGCCTCATGCAAGCTTGCAGCCAGTTCTTCTCCTGGGCTGCCCTGAGGTTCCACTCCTCCCCAGATCCAGATTCTTTAGTTTCCCCGCCCTGCTGGCATCAGGGACAGAGAGTCTCTCTCCCCTTTGTTTCCTGGTGGAATATCAGGGCTCACCTTCAGACTTCTGCTAAAAAGAGCTGGGTGCTCTGAGCTTTGTGCTCTGACCGAGCGCCCAGGAGCAGCCTGAGGATGGTGTGGACTTCTCCTGGCTGATGCTGAGTGAACTCAGCCTTGTAGCTCGCTTTCTCCTTGCCCAGCAGACACGCAGAGCCACCCTCCAGCGCCTTTCAGGAAGTGGGATGTGTGCCTCCCCGGCCGGGCCACTCACTGAAGATTCACAAGCCAGCTCCTCCATCAGTGAAGGAGGGGGCCCCTGTGGTGGGAGAAGGCATAGTTACCTTCATTGCTGTTGAGGAAAGGAAGAAATTGTGGAGTGGTGAGGATGCACGTTGTCTTTTCCTAATGACCACAGCTCAGGCAGTGGCCACCTAGATACCACTACGTCCTTCTTGGGTTGTGGCCAGAATCCTCCACTCAAATGGGCAGATTCTTTTGAAACCAAGCCCCTGACCATCGAAGGAAGGGTCATTTGGCAGAGCCCCCCGCTGAAACTGCCATGTAAGGAGTGTCTAAGTGGCGTTCTCACCCTGGCCGCCCTCCCGGATTTTTTCCTGCCCTCACCTGAGAAGCCACCTGCTTCCTGGCCCCATCCTGGGATCAGAAACAGACTCCTCAGCTGGGCTGTGTGTCTAGAAGAAATCCAGAAAGCTCTGGTGCCAAAGCAGTCCCATCTGTGGCAGCCAGGTAGTCTTAGCTTTTTCTGTCTTGCCCAAACCATTCTGACTTCTCCTGTAGCGGTGTGAGCATCCTGACGTCTGAATGTTTAAGCCTGCTCGCCCCCTGAGTAACTGGTGAAACGCTGAGTGCTGGTCAGCTCTGGTTCATTGTCAGAGAACTGAGAAGCACCACATGGTCAATATGTGTCCAGCAACAGCCTGTGTGGGGTTTGCTAGCCTCCTTGAAGGGGTGCTGAGAGTTAAAATGAGTTCCTGTTCCTTCATCCATGCCCATCCTCACCCAGTCGCTTTGTTGGCAGAAGATCTTGTTGCAGTTCCCAGCTTTGTTGAGAAGTGATTGACTTGCGATGCTGTACACACTTGCTTCCCGCTCTGGGCCCGAACTTTATGTCCTCAGTACTCCTCTCCAGTTCTGGAGCTCCCGAGACTCCACAATCTCACAGGAGTTAAGGCTGCAGAGCCTGCTGTGTGACGCGGTAAACTTTTATAAACAATATGTCATTCTAACCACTTAAAAGCATACAGTTCAGTAGCAATAAGGATATTCATGGTCTATTCATGATGGTGTGTGACCATCACCACTGTTTGCTTCCCAAACCTTCTCATCACTCCCAACAAAAACCCTATAACCATTGAGCACCACTCCATCCCGACCCTCTAGCCCCTGGCAACCACTATTTTGCTTTCTAAAGTCTCTATGGATTTTTCTATTCTGAATATTTTACATTTATAAATGGAATCATATACTATGTAGCCTTATAACACCTTCAGGGTACATTTCATGACGTAGCATGTGTCAGTTTCATTTCTTTTTATGCCTCAATAATGTTCTCCATTAACCTGTTGATGGACATTTGGGATATTTCTACCTTTTGGCTATTATGAGTAATGCTGCTATGAACATTCATATATACTTTTTTGGGTGGATATATGGTTTCAGTTTTTTTGAGTACATACCTAGGAGTGAACTTGTTGGGCCACATGGTATTTCTGTGTTTAACTTATTGAGGAACTACCCAACTTCCACAATGGCTGCTCCATCTTCCATTCTCATCAGCAGCCTCAAGGGCAGTGGTGACCTTTGGAGCCAAGTGTGTCAGCCTCACTGGCATAAGCCAAAATAGTTATCTGGGGTGAGCCTCAGTGTAGGGTAGCTGGGACCCGTGAGGAATGAGCAAGGAGGGAACACAGGCCCTGGGGAGCTCTGGTGGAGCTCAGGACCCAGCCCTCAGGAGTGGTTGAACCTCTCCAGTTTGATGGGAGTGTGTGAAGTGTAGGGGCAGGTGACTAGTTTAAGGGCCATATGGTGAGCTTCGGAGGGCTGATCCAGGTGGTGCCTATTGTGTGAGGTGTTAGACCAGGGGTGGGCAAACTTTTTGACTCGAGGGCCACAATGGGTTCTTAAACTGGACCGGAGGGCCGGAACAAAAGCATGGATGGAGTGTTTGTGTGAACTAATATAAATTCAAAGTAAACATCATTACATAAAAGGGTATGGTCTTTTTTTTTAATTTTTTTTTTAGTTTTATTCATTTCAAACAGGCCGGATCCGGCCCACGGGCCGTAGTTTGCCCACGGCTGTGTTAGACCCTGAGCCTGAGATGGTGGCAGAGTGGCCTCACCCTAGGGAAGACTGGTTACCAGCAGAAAGAGGAGGCAGGTCCAAGCCCTGGCCACAAAGGAGGCTGATGGGGGGCAGGGAGAAGGAGCGCTGTGATGCAGGATGGGGGTACTTCCTTGGGCTCCAGTATGGAGGTGCCATGTCTTACTGCAAAGCACAGTCCCTCTCCTGAGGCTAAGACAACTGCCTCAAATCTGGGGTTCGGTTCTGAATTGGCATGTGATTGAAATCTAAGCATGTATGGTCAAAACTATCTTTGAAGATCTCTCATTGCCAGGATCCAGGCCTTTGGAGGTTCAACAGCCAAACTGTAGCTTTTTGTGTTTGCTTTCCAGGGGTAGTTTCTCTTCCTGGAGCAGAGGAAGCCAACGGTAATAGGGAGAATAAAGAGATCGAGTGGCAGAGAGGTAGGATTGATTGTGTGTGAGTTAAATGTATACATAATGTGACTCCCCCTCCTTCTCTCTGCTGTACTGATGGCTTGGGACCTAGAGTAGGTGTGGGGCTGGGGAAGACCAGAAAGGCTGACATCAGAGGCTCTGGGGCTGTGGCACGTGCTGCAGGGATGTCCTCACCTTGTACCATATCACTCGTGGGGAGATGGAGCCAGGCCATCATAAGCCCACAGCAGGGTGGAGGTGGGTCCCTTCACTGGAACCAGCCTCTGGGAGCCCAGCCTGCATCTGGCAGAGGCCTCCTCCGGGGCAGGTGAGCCAAGTCAGTGCCGCCTTGTAAGCAGTGTTACAGTTTAACAGCATTACAGTTTAATAGTGATGTGCCTACACTCACTGCCCCCTTGGAGCATCTGGTAATCAGGAAGCATATTCCCAGTTTACAGATTGTGGCTTAGAAAAAGAGTGGCTTTCGCAGTTCCACAATGAGGAAGAGACAGAACTAGCATACACACCTGGGACTTCTGGCTCTCGATTCAGCGTTCTTTTTATTGTGTTCCACTTCCTGGGGAAGCTGTGTGATGGTGCTAATCTTTTTTTACATTCTCTTTGTTGGAACGGATCAGAGTCTTGGGGTCATGAGGTGCTAAGAACCTGGGGAAGGATCAGGGTCATGTCTGATTCTTACACAGGTGGCTTTTGCTCTACCTGGGCTCTGGTCAGACGTGAGATGGAGCTGCTTTCTCTGGCTCTGCCAAGGCTACCTTGCCCCCCTGTGCACCCCCCAACCTTTCCCCCCATCTGTCTGTGTCCCTTTCTGGGCAGCAGCCTCCCAAAGAGACAGGTCTCATCTGAAGTTGGCTGATATTTTGGGGTCGAGCCTGGGTTCTGATGAGGCAGAGTTAGCATCTCCTGCGGCAGCCCCAGCTTTCAGCAAATGGTAAATGCTACTTGAGGGCAACATTCAATTATGAAAATCTATTTCTCTTGCCACATTCAAAAAGTCTCCTAATGTGCCTTTGTGCACACACAAATTTAGTGACACATCACTAAATGTGTATGTGGTTGCCATGGAAATGTCTCTCTCCTAACATGGCATTCCAAAAGCAAAGAGGAGGGAAGTTTTCTTTGTAAAGAGAAGCAGAGCAGAACTTGGCTAATTGTCATGGCACTAATCCCCAAACTGTCACTCTTCCCTGACTACCTGTCTCCTACTTCCTGTCAACGGTAGAAGCCGAATCAGCCTGCTGCTGTGCTTCCTCAGGAATCCACAAGCATTGTTCCTAACTTTTATGCCAGGCACGTACCAGGAAGGGCCCCAGGACTCTCGATCTGAGTTTTCACCTGACTTAGTGCACCTCCTGGACTGCCTGACACTTGAGTCTCATACACACTCAAGTCTCAGAAGAACTCTTGGCACCAGGTCTTCTGAAGATGCTTCTGAAGATGCTCTGAGCCTCAGCTTTAGTCTTTGTGACAAATGCATGGTATGATGGTGTGCACAGTGTGCTAATACTCAGGCACTTTTTGAATGTCAGAAATCCCAGACATGTTCCTGGTAGCGGTACGAATCTGCAGAGGGTGGGAAAGAGGGAGGACTTCAAAGGCCTCAGTCTGACTGAATGCC